AACGGATCATCTGATGAGGGTATGTTTACATGACAACGATATGCTTAAAACAGAGAAGTTTATCCTTTGATTTTTCCGCATACAGACGACACTAATTACGACAACAATCCCCATTCACACGGATCCGCGAAAACGACTAAAAACGCTGTATTCTGCAGGCCGTTAGATGGCGATGAAACCCTATAGACTGAACACGTAATACGCATGTGCATGACGTCATCGTCTTTGGAGATTCACGTTTTTGTTGTTTACACGAAGACCGTTTTCAAAAACGTGCACTTTGAAACTTGAAAACTTTGCACTTTCGGGCACCCAAAACACTGTTATCATGTAAATGAACGGCCAAAATGCATAAAAAGTTTTACGTTTTTAGTTGTGTAAACAGCCCCCTGTGAAATGAGTCCATGTGCTTTCATATGGAAACGAGCAGCTTGGATGTTCTGCTCAATATCTCTTTTGTCTTTCACAGAAAGATCAGAATTGTAATTTTTTGCGTAAACACACCTTTATTGGTCGTCAAACAAGTGTACACTGGAGTACTGCCCATAATGAATTACTGAAGGGAAATGTTGGTTGTTTCATAGAAGAATGTGGTTTTGCAGAGGTTTGACCACCACTTTAGAGAGCATAGGAGAGGGAGAAACAGTCTTGGAGAACATCCTGTTCCTCTAGTAGTGCAATTGTGCAACTGCAGAACAAAACCTGCAAACACATATTTTGTTTATGCTTTTTCAATTCACCAAGGAAAGATATGTACGAAACTTTATTTTCACCAGAGGTAAATACATTCCTTCTCAGCCCCTCCATACATTCCTCATAATATTTACCATAGCTTCACAGCTCTGTCTGACACCTGGACACGAGCCAGGAACGGAGGAGGAACACGTCGCCACGTGCAGAACAGCCTGATGGGGGAAGTAACATGCATGTGCTTTTGACGCATTTAACAATTGTCACCCATTTCAACAGTGTTTACTCATGTGCATGCAGGAATATATCAACGACTCTTAATTCCTGGCCTTTGGCCCTTTTTTTGATTCATAATTGTCCCCAGATCCAAGTGCAGAATGTTAAATGCAAATAGTTCAAGCACAAGTTTTGCTTTATTATTATTATTGTATGCTTATTGGACAGCACATTTGCAATGATGATAACACAAATGCTTTGGCTCACGGCTACACGCCTCCTAGTACCACATCAGTGGGAAAAATCTGACTCAATCTATTTGGCAATTTGATTCAGCATAATTTTCGGGAAACGGACAAAGCTCAGTGCTTGTCCAAAGAGAACAAAGCGAACAGGCAGCTGGAAATGCAATAAACAACTCAGCCTTCAGACGCTCCCAGATTCCCGAATGTGTTTGAGATATAGTGCAAACCAAAACAAGTGCATTTTAAGTCATAAATGGGCATAAACAAGGTCAAGAAATGTGTTGTTTTTCGTCTGCGCGAATGTCGGGATATTTTGGGAGATTCCTTGACTGTAATAGTAGACTCTTGATCTGCCCCCTGAAGTTTCTTTGGTTTCCATGAAGTCCCCTGCTTTACAGCAAACTGATCCGCCTGTGTGAAGTCAACAAGGGTCTCGCACCCAGATGCACAGCCTCGAACGTCATGTCTCCATGTAAGGAAGCCTCTCTAAGGACAGATAGACGCAAATATCACTGCTGATTTGTTTGTGCAGTGTAATGCAGTTACTTCTTTTTGATTTCCAATGTTTTCTTTTGCTCTCTCTAGACAGATTTGAATGTGCCAAATGTTGAATGTTCAGATTTGAAATATGAATGTGCCAAAAACATATTTAAGGCATAATTCAATTGCAAATATACCATGTTACCGGTTTGCTTAAAGTTTTTTCATCTTCAGCAAAGCTGTTAGGCAGAAACTATTGCCATTTCTTGAGTAACTGAGTATACCTGTTTAACTGGGGTTTTATTTTATACTGTTTACAGATTCATCAGTAGAAAACTATATAGATTCTCTGCTTGCTTTGAAACTTGTTTCACTTCCAAAACTCTAATCTGAGCCTCTGGGAGGTATTCCAGAAAGCAGGTTATGTGACATTACCCGGCCTGGGTATATTTATGGGTATAAGTGGATAACCGCGTTTTGACCGTTGTGCTGCGATTCACTGTTTTTTGAACACCATTTCAAGTTAAACGCAGTTCAACTTTTAAAACATTTTAAACATTTAAATTTTTTTTTTTTTTTTTACTATTTTCTATTCCGTGAAGCCACTTCTCGCGTTTTTAAACGCAATGACTTGTTCTGTGAGAACATACCGCACGTGCCTCGTCTTAGGCCTACTGTGCAAGATTTACCAACACATGCTATTTCAAATGTTTTCACAATCTTTATAAAAATGTAATAATAACCTTACCTATGACTAAAACTCTTTTGTTTTCGTCAACATGCCCTGCTGTTTTAACTTTTAACAGTCTGTGTCACGGTCTAATCAATTTCAGTTGAAATCAGGTCCCGCCTACATTTTTTCGTCATCAAATATCTTCTTTGACCCAGTTTTAAAAGTGTTTTGTAAAGAAAAGAACAGAGACGTCAAATCAACAGGTGAATCAGCAGTGCTGGGGCTGAAACTTTGCACAAACACACAGGTACTGTAGGCTATATATAACATCTACTGTAAAATAGGGCATGTAGCTCTGCAGTCTTGTTTGCTTTTGTTAGCCACAAGCTCAAAGGTCTTTAAAGAGAAAAATAAAGATCCTTTGTAATGCGCCTCTGTTTTATTGTGCAGGACGGGTTCTTACTATATAGAGTAACGTACAAAAAGCACCATGTGTTATACTTACAGGATCAGGTGACCCTGATAGTGCCATGTTTAAATTATAAAAACTTTTCAGGTTTTCCAGTAATGGACATCAAAAGAATGTATAGTTCTACAATGATGTGTTTCAATTGCCTTTCAGCAGATACTGTTATTATGTTCTTAGATTAGTTGTTCAGCTGTTCCATTCCAGGCAAAACAGCTGTGTATAAGAGTATATTTGTGCGTAATAGCCTATATTTTTTAGAACAGTCCTTGACACCGCATGACGATAAACTTGTGACTGCTGCATCTTTAACTTGAACATCCAGTAACCAATCATTAAAGCTGTTCCTGTGCCATCAGTTCATGTCACATTATATGATAAAATAATAAAATGTCTGCAGGATATATATATATATATATATATATATATCCAATAAGCTAAATCAGGCCTATGTTATGCTGGTGCATATAATATATTAATGATGTATTACTATATATAGACATGCACCAGCATAACATAGGCCTCATTGAGCTTGTTCGAAGGCATGTTATAAACTTTTTTCTTTCTTTTTTTTTGCATGAGTATATCATACCTATTAATTTAAGCAGTACTCTAATGAAATATATAATGAAGTGTTAACAAATATACAAAAAAATGGACTTGAATCATGATATAAAATACAGTATTAATAACCTCATCCCCATAAGATTTTTTTTCTTGATAGGTTTAATGTTGATTGAGGAGTTATAAAACTGAAAGAATGGAACTATTTCAGAAAACAACACAGGAGGAAAAAGGACACTCTGTGCCTCAGGCTCCACTTATGTTATAAATGCACAACCCCCATAAAAACTACTGTAGACCTCTGACATTGCCTTGGATGGAAAACAACATGTTTATGATAAATAATTGTAAATGAGCGATGAATGCATTACGCATTACGAGTTATGCATTTCAAACTAAAACTTTTGCGGCTGGGTTCACAGACAAGGCTTAAGCCAGTCCTAGACTAAAATGCATGTTTGAGCGGTCTTAAAGAAACTTGCACTGGCATATCTTAAAATATGTCAGTGCTATTGTTCTGTCTCAAGATGCACACCAGTAATGTTTGTTTCTAAGGCACATTTATAAAAGCTACTAAATGTCCTAATTTAACTAAGGCCTAAGCCTGGCTTAGTCTAAGCTTTGTCTGTGAAACCAGGCCTTGCTGTTCTGAAATTAGCTGAAGCAAATATGTTGCTAATACTTGTCATTTGCATAATATAAAAAAGTATAAGTAACATAAATAATGTAATATGCTATTATAATTATTTCCAAAATCATATGAAATAAAACAACACATTCATATGCATTATTTTTCTTTTTTTATTTACTTAAAAGTGATTAACAAAAAAAATATACTTGTCACAAATTTCATCAACAACAAAATCTATAAAATACATTCATTTGAAATGAGTGCCATAAACAATCACTGTCTTTGAACCTGAAGTTACACTTTTTCATCATTTGGAAATGAAGCAGGTCTGTGGTATTTTTGGAATGTTTGCAAGGACACTTCAGGGAGTCGCAACACTAGGAAAGCTTAATGTGACATTATCCCTGTAGTCGTTCATCGTTATTTCTACAAAAAATAATAAAATAAGGCACCTTGGATACACGTCTCTATTTTTTTTTCCGCATTATTTGTGAAGCTAACTGTCAAGGGCTGCTCTAGCCCTGCATTTCGTTACCTCAAGCCACTGGCAAAAATGACAAAGAAAAACACAATTTTTGCAAAAAGAAAAGTTATCCTTGGTTATACAGACACATTCAGACTTGCATTACATTCAGCAAGACATTAAGACCTTTCAGGTCACAAACTCGACCTCTGTCGAGCCACATGAAACTTGTACCAACATCAAATTGGAGCGGAGATGTTCTTTCCCACTCCGAAGGGGGGGGGGGGAATGTGATTTTCTACTTCCAGGATTTACATTTGAAATTTCCCCCACGTTATTCCTTAAAGGTTTAGGTTTTCCCTTTTGCATTGAATTACCTGTGCACACATGAACATTAAACCAAACTCTTCGGCTTATATCAACATCAAATGTGACGTACATGATGATACAGTTTTGGGAAAGGACGGCATCACATATGCCTGGCAGACTGCAGCTGGTTAAGAGGGACTCACCTCTCATTCACAGCAAAGTAAGGCACTATGGGTAGTATCTCTGAATGGCTTCCTACCCATAATTCTCTAGTGATCATGCCCAAAATTCCCAGATTCTACATACAAGTGCGACAGGCCACAATTCGTTAAAGGCACAGAACAGAGTCTGATCGCTCTTTGGGACACAAGCGCGGGCAGAACCCTTTGTTCGCCCCGGTACTGAATGTCCTCTTTGTTTGTTGAAAGCGCTCTGCCTTGCCTAGTCCAGACATCTCCTCCTCTCTCGGCCCACTGCAGGAAGCGCAGATGCGAACGGCTCAAACGAGGAACAAGTACCAATCTCAGTCTCAGAGAGGCATCCAGGAGAACTTAAATCTCGGCTTTTGTTTCAAACATCACGTGATGCTCAGCTGGCAGAGAGTTCAATAGGTCATGCAACGAGGACGCATGTTGTTGGGCTGAGGGTTTGGGTCCACCTGTGATAAGGAAAAAAACAACAACAACAAAAAAACAGATTAGAACACTTGGAATATGACGCTTTTCGAAAACGATTCCAGATTCACAGAACAGTGGCTTGCAGATAGCAGGGAAAGAATTTATTTCTTATAAAGAGGACAAAACGCTTCTTGTATATTTTGTTGTTGATGTCAAAGGCTGCGCATCCAATCAAAGTCAGTATTTTGATGCAAATTAATTTGTTACTTTGAAGTCACTAGCCAAATTAGGAAGATGCCAATTTTGTGCCATTGCGTGTAGTCAAATATGAATATATTTTAATGTCTGATTTTAAGATTTTTTTTAACAGAAGTAAAAAAAAAAAAAAAAAAAAAAAAGGTAATTGAGAATGTTAGAAAATAAAGAGTCAAATTGTGAGTTGAATTTGCAGTAATGAGAAATAAAGTTGCAATTGCAAAAGTCACAGGACGAAGTTGTGAGATACAGTGAGATTTTTTTTTTTTTTTACTCCAAAACATGTTTGTTCGTTCGATAAGCAATTTTTGGGTCCCTTCTGAAGTATAATCGGAGCAAAACCAATCGAGAACTGCTGTCTTATATTTAAATATGTTCTTGCATGTAACCGTCAGCTCACCTCGCAGTACACTGGAGGTGGGCGTAATCTAAACTCCTGCACGTAGGCCATGAGGGAGCGCTGCAGTACGCCGCTGAGGTCTTCCTCGGGTTGTCCTGCCGTGGAGTTCTGGACCGCTTCCTCGTCTGTGACAACAGAGCTGTAATCTGGAGGAGCTGTGGAAAAACACAAACAAACAAGACTCGAGGTGAGTGACAGATATTTCACTGTATGCCATCGCTTTCAGGCTGACGAGAGAGAATGAAACCCAGGGTTGGGTGTTTACTTACGCTCAGGTTGCTCGGGGATGGCCATGCAAAGCCACTCCATGTTCACGCTGTACTGGCTGCTGAAGCTAGACGTGCGACTGCCGAACGGATGCAGAGGGATGGTGCCCATCACCAGCGGAAGTTCAAGGGAAAGCTTGGACGTCCCAGGAACGTCAACACACACCTATGAAAAGAAGCAATGTTTAGTAATCATTCAAGCAACTCGGCCAAACGTTTAGTAGCTCGAAGGTCCAACAAACTCACCCTGAGCATATACTCTACTTTGATGATTCGACACTGGAGAATGGATGGGCCTACAGGGGGGATTTTGATGGCTCGGCCATGCCAAGTCTCCCTGCGGTGTGCGCCGACTACGTCCCCGCACAATGTGGCCACCACCGCTCGTTTTTGCTTCATGGTGCCTCTGGCAATGAAGGTCTGCGTCTGGGTGATGAAAGCTTTTGGCATCACGGAGCGAGAAGTAGAGTTATCGAATTCAGCGAAGACTGGAATCACTTCACCTGGAGAGTAATAACAACATGTTAAGAGTTTCTGCGGTGAGAACCGGAGTACGTCTTAAATGTGACGGTGGGTTCCCGCCCTCACCTGGTGTGTAGCCCTTGCGGTCGATCTTCGCAGTGATTGACACCTGTCCGCAGTTGCGGTACCAGATGCGGGCCATCTTCTCTTTGGTTCCAGCTTGAGATGCCTGAAGTAAAAAGTCTGATTTAGTGCGCATGCAACCAAAATTATGAACAGAAAATGACAAGGCACCAAATAATCTGAGCGCTTACCAGTAAACTAGGTGTGTTGATGTCAATGGGCTCGATAACCGTGAACTCTTTCTTGATCTTCTTGACGGTGGCCCATGGGCGATGCAGCTTAACCTTCACCCAGTATCGAATGCTGCCGTGCTTCCCTTCAAAGGATGTCACTAGAGTTCTGACAGACAAAACACTTACATTAACCCTCATTTCCTTGCTAAACTTTCCAAATAAAGCTCTCTGATAACATTTTTTATAAGACTAATAAAACCTGCAACACTTACTCCTCTGGCAGCTGGAAACTGAAAGGGTACTCGTGTCTCCCGGCAGGCAGGACCGTCAGTTCGCCATTATCTGGAGGGGAACAAAGGAAAAGAAACATTATAGCACCACCAATAAATAATAAAAACACCATACCAAGGCCAGTAAATGTCATAATTGCCTAATGATGAGACAAAACATTCCATTAACTGCTGATACCAGAAATCACGATGATGTCGGTCACAAAGAACATTAACCTTCATGTTTTGTTAGTTATTAAAGGCAAAAGGTTGAACTTTGTCTAAAATCTTTCTCTCATTCAACTTCAGCCTCTTGAATGCTAACTAAATAAGTTTATTCAGCAGCCATAAATACTGCTCACATAATGATTAGTTAACAAATGAACCAAACTGCTGTTATAACATGTTAATGGTACCAGTTCACTCAAATTAAACGCACACCACACAAAATAAAATGTATTATATAAAATGATGTGGAAAAATGTTTATGTTTTGAGTGAAGAACATACAATATCCAAGTAGTTATCCATCTTGACTGCAGTTAACAAGAATGCAGGTATACTAGCGAAGGATTCAATTAAGTTGGATATGTTAAACTAATAGATTCATTAAATTGTAAAAAGTGGTCTGAATGATTCGTTATCGAGTTCTGTTCTTTTTAATCAATCGCCTGGTAGAATGATTAACATTAACTAAAGATAAACAGTCCACAAAAAAAGCATAAGAGTAAACTGTTTTTCTGATAGTTAAAGTCATCTTTCACTTTCATTATACTGAAAAGAATGGCCAGTGTGTGTTTTTAAAATCCCGTCTCAGGTGAGAAAGTAAGTCATTCGGTTGGTGAGAAACAGCAACATTAACTTACTATTTATATTTCGGGGTGAACTCCTTTAAGAGTCTACTCAGCTTGACTAACAGTGGGAAATGGTTTGGAAATGGTTTAAACTGGGATGTTTGAACACTTCTGCACGCGCAAAACATCTTAAAACTCGTCTTCGATGCCCAGAACGCAGTCTAATAAGGCAGCTTACTAGCTTTCGAGTGCCTGGCTGTGAATGACTGACCTGCCTGCAGAAGCACTTCTCTCCGGTTCAGGTACTCCACTTCATCGCTGTAGTTTTGCGTGTACGCGGTGCTGGACCCAGCGCTGCGAGACTCGGTCCAGTGAACTTTAGCGAAACCTTCTGCATGCAACTTCAGCGAGTCGACCTTACTCTCCGCCGAGAGATCGAGCACAACCTTCCCTGAGACAACATCTCCACTGCTGAACACCGGAGGACAGTCCATCTCCGGAGAATCAAACACGATGTCGAACTTTTTCAACTTGTCGAAAATCATCTTTGGTCTTTTCCCAAGTGCAGCCCTTTAAAATATGTCGCCTTCAGACGTGTAAAGTCAAACAAAGAGCGAGAGGGTGCATTCAAGTGCAAGGAAGCTGTTCTTCCTTCAGTTTCAAAACAAAACTGAAGCTGTGCATGTTCCCTGGTCGGCATTTAACTCGTGTGGGCGGTCTTACTGATTTTATTATGTAAGGCCTATGGCAGGAATCGCTGCCTGCTCATAAACATCTTAACTGGGTGTGGATGGAGAGCTCGGATGATTGATGCTTACAGGTTCTTAGACAAAAACAAGCTGACTGAGCATGCCCGAACCACGAGGAACCTCCCCGTGAAGAAGTTCAGCGAAAACAAAAACGGGTTCATTCTTTACTCTTCTGCTACTTTCTTGTCAATCATTTTTTTATGAAATATGTGCAAATGTGAACTTCATTTGCACAATATATAAAAAATAAGGATTTAAAAGCAATCATTTTAGTCTCTCTAGAAAGTGACACTGCAAAAAGAATATGAATTGCATATGAATTGCAAACTAAGTATTTGCCGAAAGGTGGTCAAGCAAAAGTGCAAACACACTTTTCTGGGACGGTTTAAAGAGCAAAACAAGTTGTTTCTTTGTTACCAGCAGAAACAAGTTCACGCATCGCCCTCTTGTGGAGGATTCGCGACACTAGTTGTAAGACTCGTACAGTTGTCCGTGTGGTTCTTTCTCCCCCTAGTTGTGTTAAATGGAAATGACTACGTGAGGACTGTCACGTTTGTGCTGTCAAGAAACAAGCTGTTTATTTAGATAACGATAAGCAAGTTAAGCAACCCAGGCCATACAATTTCTTAAACTGACACTGCGGTATGTAATCACGTAGGCAATCCACAACTAGGGTAAAAGCATGTGCAGTTTATGGTTGTTCATAACCGTTGCCAATAGTCATAAAGGCATGGCGGCAGATGATTGATACATAATAATACTAAAACGTAAACAAAGGGGGAAAAACTACTATTTTAAAAACAAAAATACAGAACATTGTTGCCAATCTATTTTTGATATGACACAAGAACCAACTTTAATCTGCAGATAACCACAAATATCAGCATATTAATTTACCCTCAGATACAAGCAGATACAAGCCAGTTTCTGAAATGGATATTAGTCATTTTATTCCCTAAAGGACTCTTCATTGTCAGTTGTGATATCTGACAAAATATTGGCTGTGATCTATTTATCCACCGCGTCATTTCTCCTTATCACCAAAAAGACAAGTTTGAGTGCACTCTGTTTATATTCTGATAACTTGGAGGGAACCCCCCCAAAAAAACAGAAAGAGTGCACCAAAAGCCCTGGTCAGCTGATTTTACTGACAAAATGCAATGAGAGCACCGATCAAATGTACAATTTATTTATAAACAAAATGTTATTAAAAAATTATAATATTAAATTAATAAAATATTTCTTCAATAATTTGTTAAAATAACTTTAATTTAATTGATGAGCTTGGTTGATTGTAAAATATATATTTAAATCATTACAGTGAATTAAATATTAATTAAACGGTTGTCGAAATTATATTGTCTATTCATACTGTTGTATAATTTGAATTGTTAGCAACAATCGAGAGGATCTGAGGTGGTAGCTAGTTTTAAACGCATTCAATGGTTGGTGTCCATCTGTACCGTAACATTTTAAGGTGTATACAGATTGACACCAACATTTGATGCGTTTAAAACTAGCTACTTTACATACAATAGATCTCACATTGTGAAATTGACAAACTGCTGAAATGAAATGGTCACAACATCTTTATCATGTTATATTATGTTTGTAAGTATTAGAGCCGTAAAACATGACCTGATCACCTGTAAATCGCTGTGTTCTATTAACATCAACCCATAAGTGGCATTTACTGTGATTTCATTTTAATGACAATAGCTGTGCTTTTATCACCTTTCTGAGAGGCATTTGGCTTGAGTAGTGCAGTTGGTCGTGTGTGTATTCCACCTAAACAGTTGAATAATTAACCACATCACACACTTGCTCAGCATTATCACTCCTGTGCCAGCTGTTAAAGGTCAGGAAGAAGAAGCTGGGGCTAGAGTAGTCAAACATCTCTTGCACTTAAGAGCTTTAAAGCCTTAAAGGGACAGTTCACCATTTACTCACCCTATTATTACAAACCTGTATGGCTTACTTTAATTGTCCTTTTCTATTACAATAATGTTGACCTGAAGATGTCAAGCTTTAAAAAGGGCTAAATATCATCATAAAAGTGGTCCTTACGTTCTGTGTTTGCTGTAACTTACAGCAAACACAGAACGTTCCCCATATGGTATTTGGTTATTTTTTTGGAACCAAATAAGAACGTCCTGGGAACATATGCCTACTGGGAATGTTAGGGGAACATCCTCCAAACAGGGAATGTTTTATTTACGTAAAGAAAACGTTCCTGGCTATCTAACAGAAAATGTTAGGAGGTCTGTTCTGGGAACCAGAAATGTTTCCTCAGAATGTTTTGGAAACCAAAAATGGTTAGCTTTGTATGATTAGCGCACTATAAGCCGTTGGAGCCATACTGTATATGATAGTGAGGAAACTCAGTATTGTGTTGTGTACGTCGTTATGATAACACTGATATCTGCACTAACTCATTGTGGATTCCCGTCAAATTATACATGCGAGAAGTAGCGATCTGTCCACTTTTTCCGAGTCGGGGGAAAAAACGATTTTTCGTTTACAATTCAGACTGATTAATCTGGTTCTGTCCTATAGGCTACAGCCATTCACAGCTATAAATAACAACTAAAGCTTTCGTTTCTTTTTTTCTTTTATGAGTTTTATGATTTTTAAAGATAGCCTGTTGATTTTGTGCTGCGTTTGCGACAAACATTGTCATACCATTCATTTTAAGTTGATAGAAAGTTCATTTTTCTTTTTGTGTTGCTCAGATAAAAAAATAAAAAAATTTGATTGAACTTTAAATATCTTTGGATAAATCCATGCAAACCCACCTCGGATAAGGTTCTGCCTCTTCCTGAAATAAGTTGTCTTGGATGTGTAGTCGTTATAGACGGTGTTCACGCCGACACTGCGGTTTTCCAGCCAGTGGGCTGTGGCGACCCCTCTTCCCAGCACTCTCATGGCTCGGACTTTGATTTCCCGGTTGAGCTCCAGGACCACCACGCCAGTGATCATCTCTCCACTGCTGTACACGGTATCATCCGGACCGTCCAGCTCAAGAGCAAAGAGTTTGAAGCTTTGGAAAGCCATACCTATGATGCACAAAATGCAGCCTATAGTTTAAGCCAAAAGAATAATCGATGTGTGCATCTCTAGTGATTAGAGACGTTTTTAAATCATCCTTCATTTGAAGATACCAATGCAAGTAGCCTATTTAATTCTAACGCCACGTTACAGTCATTCATGTTTAGTGTTAAAAACCAGTTAAAAACGTTACTTAAGTTACATAGGTGACAATACTGCAAGGTCAAAACAAAACAAGAGGAACGTACCTTTCACTTTTAAAACCCACAAACTGCGTACAGGTCATAACATAACGAGAGTAAAAGTTAAATGTACTCGGTCTGTTGTTTGGGGACCGCCCAATTTCGATTGTGCACCAATAAGAACCAGACACACGCCCTTTTGGGGTTGTAACCACGCCCAGTGAGTCTCTGACGTTATGCCCCTGAGCAGATGTTTTGGACAAGTGTAACGGGTCTTCTTGCGTTGAGTTGCGTTGAGTCTATGGTTTTAACGGTCATCAGCATCGTAAATCCTACAAAGTTATATATATATATATATATATATATATATATATATATATATATATAAATATCTTTTTTATGTATGAAGGCTATGTACATTTATAACACTGCATTTTTTTTTTACCTTCGCTATGGAGTGACGGTAAAAATGACCTCATTCTCTCTTCTGACTGACGTTATTAATCTCTCTCCCCCCCCTCTTTTTGAGTTGTGAAAACACTATTGTAGAGTTTTTTCGTTTGCTATTTGAGCAAATGGGAACACAAAAATATGTAGTCTGTCATTCACTACTAGGACGACTTCCGCTTCTGAGAAACCCGGAAATCTGAAAAGGGTCTATAGGAAATAAGTAATGATGTTAATCGATTTGTCTTTCTAAATAATTTTAACATTTTCTGTTTGTTGTTGTAATGCTGCCGGAATTAAGTGGAATTCTTTTTTAACAGATAAATATTTTTATTTAAACAAAGAAATAAGATAATGAGCTAGAAAAGGGCTATTTAATTCTGCCCTATTTCAAAGGTCTCAGTCTAAACAAATAAGCAGCACGAGTACTGCTGTCATTAAAACAAGAGGGACAAATACAAACAATAAAACTGAAACATACAAAGTAGAAGGACTTTTAATATTGTCTCAGTCTTTATGGCCCCCGCCACACACATGCCATTTACATGATAATAAAAGTCAACATTGTTAATTGTGTTGATTTACAAAGGCAATAGGTGTATCATAGAATCAACCCCCTCCAAACATCACTAACAAGGAAATGTTGAACTGGTGTTTACATAAACACCAAAAAGCTCAAGTTCAAGGTTACAACTGTAACAGGAGTAGATTTTGTGTTTGTTGTTTTGAGTGTGAGAATGCAAGGTTGAGTTTGACACGGCACTATTACTCCAACATATGGTTTGATAACACACAGGCTGTTTAAATATGGTGCAGGTAGAGGATCATGCCACTTTAGTACACAAACACAGACCTACACTGGCAGACAGCAGCATACACTCTGACACTCTCCCATGATATTTTACACATGCCATAAATGGTCCAAATGTGCTGTGTGAGGTCAGTGAGTTAGTCGCCATCTGACACACTTCTTGTAGTCATTAATACCATGAGCTCTGGATTGCCATTTAACCTTGAGCTTCCACACAGACACACCTGTAAGGTTCTTGACTAATTGATCATTTTATGGATTTAGTTATAATTAATTTTTATATTTTATTCAATTGTATGACCTATACAGCTCGTAAAAATACTTTATCATTAAAAAATAATAATAATAATAATACAAATTTAAGGATAGTTTGGATTGGGATAGTTCACCCAAAAATGAAAATACTCACCCTCAAGTTGTTCCAAACCTGTATGGATTTCCTTCTTCTGCTGAACACAAAAGAAGATATTTTGAAGAATGTCAGTAACCAGACAGTTGATGGACCCATTGATTTCCAAAGTATTTTTTTTCATACCAACCATGGAAGTCAATCGGGCCCATCAACCGTTTGGTTACCCATATTCTTCAAAATATCTTCTTTTATGATAAACAGATAAGATGAAAGACACGTTTGAACAACTAGAGGGTGAGTAAATTACAGAATTGTAATTTTTGGGCAAACTATCCCTTTAAGGAGAAATGTACTAAATGTTTGCATAATACTTTTGTGTTTAACAGGTTTTTTTTTTTTTTTTTTTTTAGCGATGACATATCTTCATGAGCCGTAGGTTCTATATATGAAGCGACTGACAGGACCCTTTAAAGGGATACTCCACCCAAAAATGAAAATTATGTCATCATTTACTCACCCTCACGTTGTTGCAAAACTGTACGAGTTTCTTTCTTCTGCTGAACACAAAGGAAGATATTTTGAAGAACGATTGGAATCAAACAGTTGTTTGGCACTATTGACTTCCATAGTAGAAAAAAAAAAAAATACTATTGAAGTCAATGGTGCCAAAGCTCCAATCGTTCTTCAAAATATCTTCCTTTGTGTTCAGCAGAAGAAAGAAACTCATACAGGGTTGCAACAACTTGAGGGTGAGTAAATGATGACAGAATTTTAATTTTTGGGTGGAGTATCCCTTTAAGGTTCTATATAGAGCGTACATAGAAAAAAGTGATGCTTTGAAAGTTTTTAATATTTTAATGTTTAATTAAAGTCAAAAGCAAAAAGGTCTGCACAAATGTCCTTATTCTATTTTCATGGTAGTCTGTGTGTATTACCAGGTGTTTGACATTAAACATGATCAACAAACGCAAGTCCGTCATTAAATAATAACAAATATTGTTTCTATTTGCTCTTATTTTATGATGGAGTTGAGCTGGATTTTGTCGATTGCATTTAATTTCCCTGTGCTAAGACTTGAATAAACCATACATTTGATTAGAGACCTTCCTTTTTTTGTAAATGTAATTTATATGTTTTTCAACTTAAAATGGCATATGGCTGATGTGTTGTAGGGGTGGGTTGTCCAGCGATGCCTTGCAGTAGGGCTTGGGCACAAAAGCTTCGTTGTGGGTTGTCCTGAAGTCATGTTTGCTGTGCCGGGGCCTGATATGACTGTCTTTAACCTAGAAAGAGATCAGTACAAGGTCAAGATCAGCTCTAAAACCTATACCAAACCTAAGTCAAAGAACTAGCAGAGACGAACTAGCACATCGGCTGCATCTGGGCAAAAAAGTGAGGCTTAAACATTCTGCAAAAGCTACAGCCGATGGCCAACTAGCATTTACATTCTGCGCCTGTGTGAGAGATAATAACCCTCCACAACAGAAGACGACAGTAGCCTGTATACGTCGTTCAAAAAAAGGGAACCCTTAAGATTGTTGGCAAGGTAATTGGACAACTATTATACTGTACAACCCCCCAAAGTGGGAAAACTTTATGGAGACTTTTAAGTAAATTACTTATCATCACATGGGTTTAACCAAACTTTAGCACCACCAGGAGAGCCAAGGCCCATCTCACATTTCAAGACAGTGTAAAAACAGACCAATGTCTATGTTTATGGACAGCAGAATAAATGTGAAACCAGTGAGCTGGAGTTTATCTGCTGTGAAATGTCAATATTTTACCTGCTGAAGCTGGCTAGGGCTCAGTTCCTGTCTTCTAGAGTTCAGGGGGACAAAATCTTTTTGCACAGTTGAAAGCATCCGATCTGGCTCTAAAAAACAAGAAGATCAGAGAAATATTTGATATTATTTTTGGAGTATATTTGTATTTTTTTAAGAATGTAATTTAATTTTTTCTTTTGGTAGGCAACCTAAAATATTCTTGATGTAGTAACATTTACATTTTAACTTCTTATAATCTATTAAAAAATCTATTAAATACATACATACATGCATATATGTATAAGGCTGAATCAACCTGACAATATCTAATGTGAGCAGGTCATATTTAGCTATTCAATGTGAAAATGCAGGTTAGTAACGCAAAAGTACCTTGCTCAAGCAGCATATAGCTAGGTGGGTAGATGGGTGGCTTGGGACGGTCCACTTGTTTTGATGGGAACTGCTCCTGTGATGTCGTGCTGTAGAAACATCCAGCCAGATCAGGCCGCCCGAATTTTACATCGCTCAAAGTCCTGATACAAGATCCGTCCACATGCTCTGGGAACTGAGTGTGGTCTATCTGATAAAGCAAACACCGCTCAGTTAGGAAAGACACACTTTGTATTTAGATCTTCAAGCATGAGGCAAGATGCAACAGGTCACACCTACGGAAGCGTATTGCATTCACTTGAAGAAAAAAATCTACTCTGTTTTTCTGAATTAATGAGTTAATTATCTCAGAATTACGAGATCATTTTTCATGGAAAAAAAGTTTTTGCTCTGTTTTTCTGAATTAATGAGTTAATTATCTCAGAATTACAAGATAATTTTTCATGGAAAATTTTTTTTGCTCTGTTTTTCTGAATTAACGAGTTAATTATCTCAGAATTACGAGATAATTTTTCATGGAAAAAAACTTTTTGCTCTGTTGTTCTAAATTTCTGAGTTTTTGAGATAATCAAGTCATTAATTCAGAAAAACAGAGCAAAAAAAAAATTTTCCATGAAAAAATTATCTTGTAATTCTGAGATAATTAACTCGTTAATTCAGAAAAACAGAGTAGATTTTTTTCTTCAAGTGAATCCGTACACACCTTTGGGAAGAAGCACTGGTTTGTTGTTGACAGTCTCTCCTGGTTGCCCTCAAGTTTCTCTCCTTTGAACACAGAGCTGAGGTTCCGGTCTCTGCGCTCTAGGTGAATAGGGCCTGGTGAAAAAAAAAAAAGAAGAGGTAAAGTTTTTTAAAAAGTTATACATTTGATGTATATGTCATATAATATGTTTTTGTTGATGATTTGGTCTACATGAATATTTGAAATGGCACCATCTGCTGGCTCATGCTGTGCTTTTACCCTTAAAGTCCCCGTGAACCGGAAGTTGCAAACGACTTTTCTCCAGTGTTGTGACGTATTTCCGAGAGAAACGGAATACTAAATGAGGCAAAATGGTGGGCGTGGCTTTTTTCCCAACTAGCACCTGATTGGATCTAGAAAAGTAGGTGTTTTCATTCAACCTGTCTACTGTCAGTTGGAGGGGCGTGATTACAGATGTTAAGAAGACGCCCAAACCGTGAAACCTACGTCATCAGGCAAGGTCCTCCAACGCAGAGGGGAGGGGAAATTTCAGATTTTGATTAAAGATTACGAAGCCAAAATTTTTTTTGGTGTGGATTGAATGGATGAATGTTTCTGCACAAAACGATCAATTTAGGCAAACAAAGTAAGTATGGTCAGTTTTGAATTCATGGGGACTTTAACACGCACAAAAAGCCCAGTGAACAGATAAAACCCTGAAAATGCATTCAAATATTACATTTAATTAAAATATTAAGGTAATGCTTTAGATTGTTTATAGTTTAAATAGTTGAAGAACATTATATGGCATAACAATAAACAAACAAACATGGTATACAATTATTGTACATACCACATTTGTGTGCATGAAATTCCTCAGATGATGTTGTTATCCATTTTTCATCAACAAGTTCCCGGAGGTTGATGGGCCGGGATTTATTTATCTTGGGAAGCAGACATTCCTTGAACTTAGCATAGCTGTTTAAAAAAAAAAAAAGTTTTAGATTTCCTATCTCATGTACACTGCTCTCAACTGGAAAGTATGTGCTATCAAACGTTATTTACAAAGCTTTCCTGTTAGGTTGTATACATGTTTTGTGTTTAAGCAGGATGGTTATCAGTACCTGTGGGCACCTGATTGACTGAAAGAGCTGGAATATGTTGTTAGTTTGCCCAGTATCTTTTCTCGGTCTCCCATCGCTACAGATGAAAACTGAATCCGTTGCTGAACGAAAGACAAAGAAAGATGTTATTGAACTGCAACATTATTGGTTGTCTCTGAAACCACTGCAAATGATATAGAAGGAAGACCTTTTCTGCGGACTGAAGAGGAGAAGGAGTAGGACACCATCTGTACTGGAACTGCTCATGATAACTGGAACTGAATTCATCTTTTTTGTCCTCTTTCAGACTTGACCCGACACCTTATCGATACAAAGAAAGCATCTTATATCCACTCATAAAATACAAAAGTCAATGGACTGTGAGAGTATGCATGCACAATGACTAACTTAGATATAGAAAGGGACTTTGGTGTGCAGTGGGTACCTGTGTTCACTGTTTCCTTTGCCCTAAGGTCTGATGACACCTCGTGTTTGGTGTAACTGGATCTGTACATAGTTTCAGGAAATTTGCTCCCCGGGAGACTTATCCTGACTGCGGTGGTGGGACGAATTATTTGGGCTGCAGACATGGGTAAGGGCTTGAAGTCTGCTTGAGTAGTCTTAAAGTCTCCACACCTGTTCTCAGAATGCATTTTAAAGTTGGTTCTCTGCATCATGAGGTGGGTTATCATTGGCGGGATGACATGGATTATTAGTGGATGGGATGGGTAGGACAGCGCTGTCTCTGTCTGGTCCTTTCTCTGGTAATTCTGGTCTCCTCGCTGTAAAAGTGTTGAGACGGGCTGAAGGATAGCATCTCTTTTCTGCATGGCGGTGTTGTCAAATGATTTAAAGTGGCTCTTGTTCGTTGTTCTATACATGCAGTTTGCTCCATCCAAAAACGGCACATTTGAAATCCTTGACTGAATCATCTCCATTGCGTCGCAAAAAGTAAACCGAGATTTTAAAAAGCAAAAAAGTTTGATTGAAATCTATTGAAACGCTTAAAGCAGCTCAAACAAATCTCTCTTCTCTCTTGCATCTATGATGTCACACAATTCCTTTTCGCCACTCCACAATTCCCGCCAATATCGTTCGAATGAATACACGTAGAAATGTATGCGATTTACATTGGGCTATGTAATATACATACGTATTTAATACATAAAATCATAACATCATTTTACCTTGTTTCATTCTTGCTACGTTCTTGTCCAAACAGAAAGGCAAAGGGGGGTACCAAAGACTTTTCAATTTGTTGTGGAGACATTAATTATTAAATGTTTTCCAAGACAACCATTGTAGCGGGTCTCTGAGTAGGTCTAGCTCACTCAAGTTATTTGGAGTTGTCGAAGAGGTTTAACACATTTTAGGACGCTTGAATCCTCCACAACTTTTTGATATGGAGTATTTTTTTTAGAGCAATCATCATCATGCTCTTTTAGGTTGAGAGCTTTTAGTCTCCAGTAGGGGGCAGTATTGGGTCAACTGCAATCAGGCACATTTATAGTGGTCCCCAAAACAATAACTAGTAACATAACTTTTTTTATATTTATCTAGATCGTGTTGATATACTGCTGACCAAAATAACATGTCAGATCAAATCTTTATGCCAGAAATACTGGAACAAGTCTATTTACCAGATCCCGTCAGAAGACTTAAGTGAGGATGAAAAAAAAAGAGCAATAGTTATTGAATAAAAGCAAAAAGCAATACTTAAATGTTTTACAACATAGCGTCTTGTGACGTTTAAAAATTTAAATGGAGACATTCTCATTGAGACAAATATATATATATAACTAACTTATAATGTAGAAGTTAAATTAATTTGAAATCAAATGTAGTTTAAATCTAATGTAAATGTATGAATGGATTTGCATTATAAAACAAAATATCAGTTCAGGTTGCAAAAAACATAGTTTGCAGATGCTACTTGGTTTAATATTTTGTTATATAATGCAAGGATAATTCAGACATTTTTAAATATGACAATATACGTTTTGGGCCACTGTGTAACAGGATAATGAGTTACTAGACAATTTGCCCAAATTATTAAACAAATTATTAATATTATTATGATGGTCATATGATAAGAGTACTGACTGAAATTATATCAGCTTCACTAAACACAAATAAAATAACACATTTAAAGTTTCACAGCCTCATAGCATAATTGCCTAAGTCATATTTATTTGAAATATGTCTAAGGCAATTATGCTATGAGGTTGCCTGAGGACAGGTCTCCTGAGGAGAAGAATCTCTGTTTATATTTTTCATCATATTTAGCTGAGTATCATGCATCATTCTACAATGAAGCACAACATTTCTTTAAAAAAAAGCTACTAAAAAAGCCATAGCAAGCAACACTGCTTCAAAATGCACCATAACTATCATAATTCAATTTTATCCCAAAACAAATGGTGAAGCAATCAGTGCAGCACTTTATTCCTTTATTATCTCCATAAACTATCATAAAGGGTATCTTGGGAGGGTTTGGGGTTGGGAAACAACAGTAAAATTAAAGGACGTGTACACATGAAGCAAATACTTTTATTGGGAACTCATATAAAACCAACAACAGGCACACAATAGAAAAATAGTGTCTTTGAGGTTATAGAGCAGATGTCCAAGCGATGAAACATCAACAGTTAAAGTGAATGTTTAGGCTAAAGACATGTTTTTATAAAGAGGTAAAACTACATATATAAAGGTTGGTATAAAGATGCATGCTGACGTATTGAAAACTAGCGGTCTATAAAAAGTCTAAAGTGTTTTTCCTTAAGGGTTGTTGCCGTTAGAAGTGCCATTCTGAACTAATGGAATCAGACAGTGAAAATTGAATTGGAGTACTCTGCCAACCAGTTGATCCTTGCAGAAATGCATTAGATTGAGAACTAACTACATATTTAAACAGACTGCAGCAGACTAGTTAAAATGATGACTAAATTAGTTAATGAAATAGGGAAGTCAAGGTTAATTATTCACTCATGTTATCATTTGTTACTAAGAGAAATATGTTTTGTTAGTGCTTTGATTTCCCTGCTCCTCTTGTTGTCAATTGCATTAAGCAAACTTTATGAGGCATGTAAGAGAAACTGTAAGTTCAACAAGCCATTAAATCACTTAAATGTCCTAACAGAGACATGCTGGTGTCCGTAAACATTGAGATATTTTCATTCTTCAGTTCTAATTATGTATCTAACAATAATACTGGTAAATACATTGAACAGTAGCTTATATCTACAGAACGTTCTGTTCTAATTTTTACTCATTTAGAAACCTAGTCACAACCAAATCACAGATCTCAACAACAATTTCAACTATATTGATATCTAGTACCAAAAAACAGGTCTAAAAGAAGCTAGTCTTTTGGACAGTTCTTTATGGTTTTCCTCGTGACTAATTTAATCAAACAGTCTCCGTTCTATGAGCGAGCAAATGTGGAATGTGAATGCAAATATATTATTGTCATGCTACTTATCACCTCTAGTTTTTACTACCAGCCTAGTACCATGACGAACCGTCGAGTTGTGCAGCTTGGGAAAATTCCAGTAGAGAACAAGTTCTCTTCGACCTCATTTTGGTGGTTTTGCCATACAATGTTTGTTCAACTGCAGTGGTCAATCCTCCAGGAGCTTGGCTAGGTTCTGTCGCAGGTCGCTCAAATCGTAGATCTTGACGTCTAAAGTTTCAATGACCTTCTGCACAGCACTCTCTGCCCTGTTGCGGGAATCCTGGGACGAAGCTAAAGCCCTTTCTGCTGTTTGCACTTGTTTCTCCAACTCAGAGTTCTTCACTTCCAGGTCCTTAATGCCAAGACAAATAAACATTCATCCTTAGTTCACTAAAACATATTTATACAGGTGAAGTCCGAAGCTAGTGAAAATACTTCTGTTGTACCCACATAGTAATAAAGAAATGTACCTGCATTCTTTGACTGGCCTCTTCCTTTTCTTTCTCCAGCTCACTAAAATCTGGTTTCTTGCCCCGCAGAGTCTTTATTTCCTGTAATAACCGTTTTTAAATAAGGAATATTCTTTACTAACTTGTTCATCTTACAAGTGAAATGAAAAAGAAGTTCTACTTTATTTTCAATGGAAATTCATTGGATTTAAATGGGATGTTTTACATGGGCTGTTTGTATACATATACACATACACTGCAAGCCCCCAAAAAAGTCGCTGTTTGGATTTAAATAGGCAAAATGCTTAAAAGTCTATGTTTGGATCATTATTGTAGTGATTATTATGTTTCTACCATATTACAGTGCTCCCTCACAACCATTCTTTCACAATTTGAGCCTGATGAATCTTGACATTGTCATTCTGGAATACGGCCATGATGTGTCTGCATGGTTGTTTAAGAAATGAAAAGCTACACACTCCATCAATTAGGGTTAGAAAGAACTGTTGCCAAAAATATAACATGCTAGAAAATAGAATAATAATTACTGCAATAATGATCCAATCATAGACTCTAAAGCATTTGCCTATTTAAATCCAAACAGCGACTTTTTTGGCCGGGCAGTGCAGTTAATAATAAATCATTTTATTTTAGAGTGCCCCTATTATGGATTTTTTAAAATGACCTTTCATGTAGTGTGTAACATAGCTCTAAGTGAATGAAAACATCCTGTTAAGTTTTAAATCTGAAAGTGCACCGTATATTAAAGTTATTGTCTTTCAAAAGTAAGAGTCGACTCTGAGTCAATGAAATGAATCGCTTTCAAATGAGTCCTAAGTCGTTTCGTTGTGACGTCAAGACGAAAAATTAGCATATTGTCCGCCCACTTATTGCGCACGCAGACACCAGGGAAAACTTGAACCTCAGGCAGCTGATTTCTGTGGGTACAATGTGAAGGTAAAGCCAGTTTTTTTTTCACTGCCCAAGGACGAGCATGTGAAGAATCAGTGGTTCAAATTCATTTTTACCACGATACCACAGCAGTACAATCCTAAACGTTTGCTGTGTTCCCTTTATTTTACTGACGTTTGCTTCTCAAATCTCTGAGTTCAATGCAGAATTCGCAAACCGCTTGCTCTTGAGAGACGGGTCAGTACCCAGTTAATTTGGACTAACTTGCTCCTCAGAATCACAACCTGTAAGTATGACTAATTATTGAAGTATATATATTCATCAACTCACGTTATTACTGTCTTACTGAAATACTTCTGCTAATCAGCTGTGGGCCACTATTACCTAAAACTGTGTCTATTAATGCAGATAGTCTGTGGAGCAAGGATGGAGCAAGATTTGTTACATCAGTCATTCACGTTAGAGCTCGGCTAATGTATGCACCGTTATTGATACAGTTCCCACATGTTCACCGCAATAAATAAGAAAAACACTAAATAAATAAGTGTAAAATAATCGGGTTGTTGATGGGACATACACTTGTTAATGCTGAGGAATTACAGTTGCAACATCTCATAATGTACCTCAAACTGAGTAGTGTATCACTGAAGTGCATCACGGAGTCCTGCTCAAGCCGTCTTTGCGATGGAGGTTCGGGTTGAATGACTAGTTCTTCCAGTGTTTCATCTTCGGACTCTCGTTTGGATTGATATGGTAAAATCGACGTCATTGTTCGTTACTGTCTTTAGTTTACGGTGTACAATCCCTGAGCTGACGTTTAGTTATGGCATTGGGCTTTTTGTTTTCGACACGCACACTGTACACGGTAGACCAATCACAACAGACTGAGCTGTCTGGCCAATCAGAGCAGAGTAGCTCGCGGAAAGGATGGATTTAGAGAGATTGATTCATTTGACGAGTCGTTTGAGAATCATTGAAAAATGTGGTGATGTGTAAATGAGAAAATGAAACAGTTTTTTGACCTTTGATGCATGTAAACCTGTTGTAGGAGACTCCAAAAACAACATTAGGAAACTTTAAAATAGCATAATAGGGGCACTTTAAACAGATGTTGAAAATACAGGGTCTGGACTGGCTGTGACAGCGCTATTGAATGTAATGAGATTAATCTAGTTGTGGTGTGTCGCAACAAGTCATAAGCGTCCAGTGTAGACATGCTGGAATGTTGGACAATTGTCGCAGCTTTCCTTACATAGCGGAGGGGGAGGGGCTATCAGACTCTAATGTTGAATGACAAAACAACCGTATCAAATGCATACACTAGATGGTTGAGTGCATAGTATCATAGTAAGTTCATAGAGTATCATTTGGGACACGACTGGAGTCTCTTGCTGTGTCAGTTGGCACTGTTATTCCATAAAGTAATCTTTACCTCATCTTTAGCTTTGATAAGGGCCTCCATCTCTGCCACAGACTGTGTGAGCTCCTCATTCCCCGTCTCACTGGAAGCAGAAACCCCGCTCTGAGCCTCCAGCTCTGCAACCTGAAATATGAAACCAACAGACCAGTGCTATTCCAAGTTCTCCCATCAAACTCCGGTTGAACAATCGGTCCCCGATTGTATAAAATCTCAGAATGTACCATGTTGTAAAAATCTTAGATTTTCTAAAGTTCTTAGAAATGTTCTCTTATTATTCATGTTGGTTTTGAAAAACTTGCTTATAATCTATTTTAAGGTGTCCGTGTTACGTAGTAATATTAGTTAACAACATGTAGTTGCATGTAATTATGCATAATTTAGGGTAACATGGGGTAAAATGACACGCACGCACACACACACACACACAAACCACCTCAATTTTTTTTCACCTGACCATAGATGACACAAAATCTCATCTCAGAACTTTTGATGAATGGCTACGCTATTTTAAATTTTGTCTTTTCATCTGAATATCAACATTTGTGAGATTTAGAATTGGTCTAATTTTGTGTCTCAGGAAAATAGTGATCGATGACATTGTATTATGTCGAATATCAAAGTTTTTGTGTCTATTTGTTAATAAGGGATGTGTGGGCAAATGTTTCTATTTATTTCCTATAATAACACACTGGCTGATGCATTATTATCCTGCACATGCTAAACGTATATGTACATGTTGATAGGCCCCATTTACTTCCATTGTTGTTTTTCTCCACACTATGGAAGTCAATGGGGCCCATCAACTGTTCCATTACCCATATTCTTCAAAATATCTTCTTTTATGTTCAGAAAAAGAACAAAATTCATACAGGTTTGAAACACTTTGGGGGTGAGTAAATGATGACAGAATTTTCATTTTTGGGTGGACTATCCTTTTAATGTGTTTTCAGATTTTTTGATCCCACTGAAAAATACACTACCCTCTCCAGGAGTCACTACCACACTCTTACTTTCCACATAGCCATGGTTTCTGTGACAGAGCGTCTTTTCTTCAGAGGTCGTAATAATTCACAGGAAACACTGAACTCATGCTCACCCCTGAGGGAAAGTAAAGCAGGCCATCACTGCACTGGAGCTTTTAGCACTGTCACAACTGTTCTGTTTGTGTTAGGGAGAAACTTAGCGGTCTCATTTTCCCCACGGTCATTTGTCTTCCCTCTGTTCCGGGCAATGAAGGCGTATTGTCTTTTCCTAAAAATATCCCTCCGCACGCTCTCTGAAGACCTGAACTATATACGTCACCTGGTTGATGTTTGCTTCAGTAGACCTACAAAGTGTTGTGGAATCATTTATGTATGATTATGTAAAAACTCTGCCAAAGACTGCCTGAGGGAAAATATTCAGTTTGCTTGAGCAACTGCTAAAACAAATTGTTTGCACATGAGAGTGTGTTTAAATGTGGACGGTTTTCTTATGTGGTCCTCAAAAAGCAGCAGTGTAAAAACTGTTTCATCGGGAACCTCTTCTTGTATCTCCACAAACTCTTATGAACATTGAATTGACACAATCAATACAGTTCCAAACCTGTATGACATTCTTTCTTCTGTGGAACAGAAAAGAAGATATTTTAAAAAATGTCCAGCACTATGGAAGTCAATGGGGTCCAAAAAGCATTGAACCCCACTGACTTTAAAAAAAACAATTTCTTCTTGAGTTCGGCAGACGAAATAAGTCATACAGGTTTGGATGACACGAGGGTGAGAAAATTATGAAAGAACATACATTTTTGGGTACACTATCTAAATAGAGTAACCATACGTCCCATTTTCCCCGGGACAGTCTGCATTTTAGCTCTATTTTTAGTGTCTTTAGTGTCCATTTAAAAAAAAAAATCATGTTTTGTCCCGTATTTCTTCTTTCTTAAAATATCTTTGCTAGGTGATCATAAAAGCGATTAGTAGTCTTCTGTCACACGAGAACAGCCTAATCAAAGGTAGCCAATCTCATCATAGTATATTTTGGAGAACAAAACTACCATCCAATCACAATTCGTTATCGATTAACTTGCAGTTATTGAAGGTGGGATATTAGAGGGCACAGAGGAGATCAAGTTTGACGCGAAAGATGACAAAGAAGCATATGCGTACACTTAACCAGGATCTTCAAAAAGAGTTTATCAAATTTTTATGCGCAGTAAGTTGTGAAAAAAAGAACTCAATGTAGTATCGCACTGAATGACGCACACCAGAAGTGCTCTCTCAGACAGCGCACGATCCTGAATTCAGTTCTCTTTGCGCCTGAATGGTCAAATACAGACACAGTTGTCAAAATGCCCATCATGTGGAGTATCTCAAGTAAATACAGTCGGTTATGGCTTAAAGGGGTCATATAATGGTACATGCACTTTTACAAGTTGATTGTACTGAAATGTGTGTTGGCAGTGCCTGTACACAAACATCATATAATGATAAAAATCCATCCAGTGTTTTTGTTTTAATCTCCTTATATGTTTTCCCCTGCCTCAAATTGAGCCGTTCGTTTTTGTGACGTCAATAAAACGGACGCCCCTCCCGCGATTGTTGATTGACAGCAGTGATTCAACACAGACCCGCCCTCGCTCGCGAGAGCTGTCAATCATAGTCTGCGCGGACCGGCGCGGTCATTGTTGATATGCTGGAGCACTGTCTATGAGCAGAATGGCGTCTAAGCGATTGTGGTGTTCTGTTCTTGGGTGCAATAACGAACACAGCAGTCATTTTAATGTTCCTAAATCCGAACCGCTGAAGACGCAGTGGCTGAGTTTGTTTTCGAAGGGAATATTCCCCACGAGCAACGTCAATGCTTTCATGTTTGCGCGAATCATTTCTCAGTGGACTGCTTTATAAACGAGGATCAGTGTAAAGCTGGTTTTGCTGAGAAGCTGCACCTGAATAAAGGATCGGAACCTATTCGTGTTCCTGCTGAATCTCCAGAAGAACTAAAGTGAGTGTAACGTTTTATTAATCTTTATATTAATATTTATATAATCTTTGCAAATCGCCAGCTGCACGCTTCACGATGAATGCGTCGGTTTACACTCAGGGTACATTTACAGCATGTTTTCTATGTACAACGTTCTCAATATAATTCATAATCCCACGTTTATAATGAACAACGCGTGGTTATTGTGTTATTGTGTTACAAACGGTGTATGCGCAGAACAGAGAGGCGGAGTGAGCAAAGCTCATTATCATTTAAAGTCATATGCACTGAAACGGCGTGCTGAAAACAGAGCTGTTTTTGACCAGGTAAAATAAGTGTTTTCTTACAATACTAATGAGAATTTTTAATTAAAGTATATTACAAACTTTTAATTTAGACCCTAAAGAATCATATTAGCTTGTACAAAAATGGCATTATATGACCCCTTTAAGTGAACGTAAACAGCTTGGTGAAAACCGGATGCGTGTCAGTTTGGATCCAAGCATTCGGTCTTAAAGTGACAGCAGCCTAAAATAACTGTCTGTGTCAATGTTAATCAAACAACAAAAGATGTTAAGTAAATGTACGCATGTTAAATAATCCTACTGTACCTGAAAAATATATTTTATTTCATTTGTATCTCTGTCGTATTTGTCCTATTTTTTTGTAGTTTGCTTTGTTATTTTTTTATATGTCCTATTGTTTGTAGTTTGCTTCTTTGTTATTTTTTTATATAACAAAAATAGAATAACTATATGATATATATTGTTATCCTGAAATACGTTTTTGGTGACATTTGCAAGACGCTGCAAAAGACGCGAGACACAAGCGTAACGGACATACACGTCCGTCTAGCGCAGTTTACATTGAAAAATAATGGAAAAGTAGTGCAGTGGAATGGAAACACGTGTTTTGTGTGAACAGCTCTTAAGTGTGCTTCACAAAGTTTCAGTGATATTTTTTGACAAACGAAGTTGTGATGGCTTTTTTTCTGAAAATGACTGATTTCGCTAAAGACGACCCTTATTTGGCTTAAAATTAAATAGAATTTAAATATACTTATTAAATATGAATTTTGGACTGTCAAAATGGTCTACATTGGGCATTATCCACTAGCATTTGATGGAGAAAACTGCAATTTTTTTCTTCGAAACCTTAATTTAGCTTCGACTGAGAAAGTCATATACATCTAGGATGGCCTTGGGGCGAGTAAATAATCGGTAAACTTTCATTTTTGGGTGAACTATTCCTTTAACATTCCTCACCTGCTCTCGGAGGCGATCGGTTTCTTCCTGATACTCGGCTAATTGTGTTTTCCAATGTTCAATGCTGCTGTTAGCTTCATGAAGAGCGGCTACAAGCTTAGCGTTGCTGTCCCGAAGAGAAAACAGCTCTGCCTCTGAGTTCCTCTCACATATCGACCTGTGAACAAACCAACATCTGGGTTCAGTTACTCAAGTCTTTCCTTCTGAAACCTGAGGCAAAGACAAATTTCATCAAAGAATTTTACTCCAATGGCAGCAGATGGTAAACATTGCACACATGGCTGAGTTTTGAAATGTCATTTCTTTTGTCTTGCCTTTATATTTTAAAAGATTACTAATGTCCCATGTCAGATTTTAGATTTAAAGGAGAATCATTTTATTTTGCAGAGACAACTTTTGCAGGTTGACTTCCTGAATCTGTGGCTTTGGGATGTTTTCAACATCAGCATATTCAATGTTGTGATTGTATGATGAAGTGATTCATGCTTGAATCTGTAAAACGTTTGACGGTAAACTCACTGCCAATTACCCCAGAAAACCACTGAGGAGGAAGAGTACATCAGGCGGATTGATTAAATTCACGTGCATCTGAGTGAGACGGTTGTGGTTATACAGTATATCAAGGGAAACAAACATGTGAAGCTACTGTACCCCATTACAAAATATGAGGCAAATTAAATGTCAAAATACATCCATTTTAAAGTTTGACCCCCAATTAATGTTGCAATTAGACATTACAAACAGGAGACAAGTGAGAGTAAAAGACAGTGTGAGATTTGATGGTTATTTTGTCAGATCTGTATATTTTACCCCTCGGAAAGCATCTTCCTCATCTGTTCTTTTTCCATGCACTGCTCCATGTCAGCACTCTTGCTGCGAAACAACTTGTCCTCACTAGAGCCATTGACACCAAGCAGCGGAGGAGACTGACGGTCCACCGACAGCGCCTGTATTAGACACATGACAGGCAATAAAAACAATATATAAAATCTCTATATATTAAATAAATAAAAATAAAAGTTTGGAGTCAGTAAGAATGTTTTTAATTCATATTTGTATTTACCAGGGACACATTAAACTGATCAAAAGTGACAGTAAAGACTTTTACACTGTTACAAAAAAAAGAATCTTTCCAATAAATTGTTCTTTTGAACTAAAACAATTCTGAAAAAAAAAAAAGAATTTCGACAAAAATATTAAAGCTGCAGTCCGGCGTTTTTCCTCTTTGTCGCCATCTCTGTTCGAAATCTGCAATTGCAGTCATTCGCGGAATTATCAACTTTACGTAAGTTGTACTTCAACACCCTTGACACCATAGATATTAGGGGTGGGAATCTTTTACCATCTCACGATTCAATTCGATTCCGATTCTTGAGGCCACGATTCGATTCAAAATCGATTTTCGATTCAAAAAGATTTTCGATTTAAAACGATTCGATTTTATCCATAATGATTTCTAATCGGGTTTCTGATCATGATCTCCTCTCATCTGCTTTGCTATACAGAATGACAAACGGAGACCAGTGTTTCCTCTAGGATTTTTTCCAGCTGTGGTGGCAGGCCCATTTCGCCAGGGGGAGGGGGCGTGGCCCATGAGTGATATTGCCATTGGCCATGCCCCCTTACCCCAGGTGTTTAAACCTCCCCTAAGTATTATAACATTATAACATGAAAGGCTCGAATAAGAGCGGCAAAGCGATTATGCGCATCCCGTGCGCAGAATGATGCACTTGAAGCAACGCGAAGTCACAGCGCGCAGCGCTCCGGATTGAAAAGTTCAAAGCACAAAGCGAAGAGATTATATCTGTCTATCTATGCTTAATGTATTATATATTTGCAACAGTTTATTGAGCATTTTCTTTTAAAAGTTTTAAATTTCAGTTACAGTGCGGATGAAGAACAATTCATAGCGCTCTCCAGTGCTGTAATCTAACAGACACCCGGGAGAAAGGATTATGATTTAAAAAACGCTATAACGCGACGCGCTGTGTGAATGCTGAATGGAGAATGACTGAGGAGAGAGGAGTTTCCATTAACTTTAACTAACGACTTAAATATTAATTTGTACCTCACATTATGCTATTGAATGCCTTTAGAAGTCTTGGAATATAGTGCGAACACTTTATGGTGCTTCACAATGTTTTTTTATGCCTTAGCTTAACAATAACACTAGTATGCACATTAATATCGGACCTCACTGAGAAGCTGCAGCCGTGGCGGGATTATTTTAGGTGTGGCGGCCCGCCACGGCAGAATGAATGTAGAAGCATCATATTTAGAAGCATCAGAAGCTCTATAAAAGCATCCATTTGCTTCCTCTGATTTGCCGCTCACGTTCAAAAACCGGCTGCGTGCATGACGTCCGGACGTCCCGTATAGGCTATAGTTACAAAAATGGAGGCGAACAGCCAGCTGATTTTATTTATTTATTAAATCGATTCTTGGACATTTCAGATCGATTCTGAATCGTTGCAAATGAGAATCTAGATTCTTCTGTGAATCGATTTTTTGGCACACCCCTAATAGATATCCATAATAAAGGCTAGATGTCTTACGGCGGAGTCTCTGTCGTCATCACCGGCGGCCATCTTGTCACAGGCAAGCTTTCTGGCGGGCTCTGTGGTACCTGATGTCAGATGAGTGATCAGCACGAACACAAATACTCTTATCTCGTTGAAATCTTGACGGATTTACAAACGTTTTGGTTTCTTACAAACGTTATTAACGTGGCTATACTTCTGGATGATTATTTATTGATACACTTATTATTCATAAGTGTGCAGTGTCATAACTACATCTCTGACGTTTATAACAAACCAAACCGGTAGAAAATTGAGCAAGTTATGGTTATTTAAAAAGTACAAGCACCATTAAAACACAATGTTACGAGTGAGCGAGCTGCCTGTGACAAGATGGCCGCCAGGTGCGGACGTCGACCTCCATTGGCCAGCAGCACGGACGAGACATCTAGCCTTTATTATGGATATCTATGCTCGACACGGCACAGCGTGGATGAACACAATGTTTGAGGAGAGTGTGCAGCTGTCAGTCACCGCGCCGATGTGGATACTGTCATTCAGAATCACAGATTATTGTTTTTGGAAGTATGACCAACATAAGAATTTTCACCGGAAAATGTCATCTGAACTAGTAAGAAACATCCACTTTTGTTCTGGTTCTGACATTGCAGTAAATCGCGCTGATTACATCTAACAATCGCTTATAAATGATCATATCACGCAAAACCGTGCAAATTATACTTTATTCTCAAATTTTTAATGTTAACAACGTCAGCATTGTGTGATTACATCTAATGTCCTTCTGATGTGTATCCTTGTTTTCGCATGGGTCCGGTTGCAGTCTCTTTTTTTCTGTAGCCACTCCGAAGTCTGAACGAAGTCTTTTGCATTTTACAACGGTTGAATCTGTTGTCACTGGTGATTGTCGTTTGAACCTTTCTGGATCCGCCATCAAATTGATAAGTTTAATTATATCAAGTGCTGTGAGAAAAGGCTATAAATCTCCACCTCCAGCATCCTCACACGCAATATAGCCTACTAGCCGAGACTCCTTCTTTATGTGTACAGATGTGACGTAATGCAAAAACATGCTCGAATCTCCCGCGGAAATCCACCAGTACCACTGGAATTAAAAACATTCATGTGACACTAGGGCTGGGCGATAAAACGATAACGATATGTATCGCGATAGACACGTGAACGATATCAATAAAAAATGTGTTCGATAAAACGTTCGATAATTTTTTTTTTTCCTTCGTCGGAAGAAACCACAGGTTGCGAAGCAAGTTTGGTTGCATTAACAAAGGCACTCGCTCTCTGGTAACCTAGCAACGTAGGGAGTGACAAGCTCAGGCAATCATGTAACGTGTCAGTTTGGTTGCGCCATAGACATATTTATTATGTCTATGGGTTGCGCCATCGAAAAAAAGGTTGTTTGCGCCATCGTTGTCTCGTGCTGCTGCTGGGTTCCTCATCAGTAACCGGCGATTGATAAGCAGAAAATGAGTGCCCTTCATCTGCATGCCATGCAGGCTAGAATTGCGAAACATTATTGGATAATTCGCTCTATTCGCGTTTGATGTGAACACAGCATAATGAACAGGCTGCGATGTCAAGATTGCAATGCTGGAGTGTGTGTGTGTCCGCGCGCGCGAGAGAGAGAGACATGCGGGCGCGATCGAACAGTGGAGACATAAAAACATACTCCGTCATTTTGTTAATACAGGACATCAGTCAGTCTGCAAAGTGTTTACAATATTTGTGTAGGCCTATACTCGCAATAAAACACAACATTGTCCTTTTGTCACACTGTATTTCTTGTCAAACTGTAGCCTACAACTGTACACACCGTTTTAAAAGCAAAACATATTTATCCAACCCCGTTGTAAAACAGTCTGTGTTCCATCTTTTGGACATTCATCATATGGCATTGGTTTTCATTTCTTGCCCTCAAAACAGAGCACTAATCTGTTTATTTTGAAGTTACACATTGATTAAAAAAGAAAATTAAATTTGTTGGTAGTATTATTTTATACGGAAATCAATTATTTATAATTCTGATGAGAATAAAGTTAGGGTTAATTAAAATTAAGGAAAACAAATATATTGATCTGAAATATAGCAAATTAATTTTAAATTCATTTAGGTACAATTACCAAACATATCTCATATCTATCTTTTTATTAGTTTAATTAATAAACCAATTATATAAAACTATTATCAGTGCACTATAAATAAACTGGTTCTATGCCTTTATTAATAAAACTTATTTAAAAAATACAAGGCTTAAGACATTTATAAAAATGCCTTCTATATTTCTGTTTTGCTTTTCACTCCATTGTACCGAAATCGTACCGAACCGTGATGTCTAAAAAAAAAAATCAAGCAGGGGGCACGTACGATCACAAACCCCCACCACCCACGTCCCGCCGCGCCACTGTCACCTTTTTTACTCTGAGGAGTTTGCAGGTCTGATTGTGAATTTAGACTTATGTTTACATTTTAATTATTTGAGTTTTCCATGGTTGTGTTGACATTTCTGTCTTGGGATTGTAATCAGAGGAAGGTTAAGTTTAAAATAAAAATGTTTAAATGTAATATATTTTTTCTCCTGGTCCTTATTTTAAATGGGTCATAAAAAAATCAATAATTATCGATATCGACCGATATGAAACACTGATATCGTGATACAGTTTTCAGCCATATCGCCCAGCCCTATGTGACACAAGGATCATGTGACACTGAAGACTGGAGTAATGGATGCTGAAAACTCAGCTTTTAGCAATATAAATGAGTATATTCACAAGATATACGCAGTATTTATGAAATCTCTCCTCTTAAATGCCGCCATTGATTTGGTGCTTTATAGGGAATGTCCCGTGCAGTCCCAGTGAGCTCCTATTTTCAATCCTATGGCAAGTTAGATAACTCAAAAAAGAACTTAAACAACACATTCTTAGTCTATTTGTCTGATGAAAAAAAAAAAAAAAAAAAAGAGTCTCTAAGAGTCTGCACATGTGACTAACCTGGGCATGAGGCAACATATGCCATTGATCTTTGATTCAAATTTGAAAGGACATCGGTTTATTTCAACCTACTGTTCATGTTGATTTGAGAAAACCAGAACAGTACTTCAGAAAGAACTCGGCTATTTTGCCTACACTGTATAACAGCAAGCACAGCCTTGGTTTTTTTAAACATGTACAGTGTTTGTGTGGAGCAATGCATGCTCGCTCTCAGAAAAGCTTGTATAATTCAACAATCGCAGATGCATTCCCCAAAGGAAGATGTTCTATTTCTAATCCGACCACTCAGGCCGTTGACTTGTTTGCCTTCTCTATAGCGGTTCATGGCAGGCGTAGGGAGCTTGAGATGGAGCTCTCTGTGTGTTTAATATATTTAAAGGAAGAGCAAGAGGAATCAGAGAT